AAGTGATTCAGTTGTGGCAACTCAACTTAATTACTGATGGGGTCCACATAACTATGTCAGCTTGTTAAGCAAATTTTTCTGAAACTTTTTTGGCATTAAATTGTATGTGATTCCATGATTTTGTTGGTCAGTGGGTTGTAGATCTGTACCTAATAACATACAAGTTTCACAAAAGAACAGTGGACAGGAATACCATTAATATTGCAATTAATTTCATTAATTACTGTTGATGTTTTTTATTTAGTACATTAGACATTTCACTTAAGAAACGAGGATTAAGATAAAATTAATCAGTGGAAGTGAAGGTATAAAAAAAAACAAGTCAGTAATTTGGAGGTTAAAACATTGAGATACAAACAGATGTTATGATGCTTTTTAGACTCCTGCACAGACTGAAGACCATGATCCACTGGGACCACTGCCAGAAGGATGGGGTATGTTGTTATTACATTTGTATTTTGTTGCTCTTTCAAACTGAGTAGTGAAAACTAGCAACTTCTCTAGGTATTTACCCTACACTGCCGGATATGATTCAAAATTTATCTTTATTATGACCAATTTAGGAAACATTTTAATAACAACTGGACATGAACAAATAAAAAAAAAAACTCTGTAGTCAGCCATCACTTTGAAATATTTCTGTTTAAGCTTTGCATTTCAGATAGGCATCTCAAGAAAACTTACTCTAAGAACTTTTAGTAGAGGTCAAGGTGCAGTTTGAGAAAATGGCCTCTATATCAGGAGATTCTAAACTTTCCCAACCCATAACATATTTCATTAGGCAAGTAATTTTTGTTTAAAAACATTTTAGAATCGTTATATATAAATAATTAAAAATAAAAATATGTTTGTACTTTCTTTGACCCATTACAATACTTCTTTTAATCCAACCAATGGGTCATTACTCAGTTTGGGAGGTGCTGATGTAGATCATATTTATATGCACAAAGCTTGCTTAAATGTGTATTTTAATCTTCAATGGTTACATTTAATTGATATCTTTAGCTTTTGCTACTTTTCTCTTGATGAGATTATACAGAAAAAAAAAATGATTTATTATGTATTTTAAACTAAATTTAATCTTACTTAGTATAGTAATACTTGGAGAAAACTAATTACTTATCACTTATTTGTCCAGAAACAAATTTGCATACAAATACTTTTTTTAAATTTTGAATGCTTGCTTTTTGTATTTCTCTTTTTCCTGCATCTGATGATGATGTTTGGTTGTCAGATTGAGGAGGAGCTGGTCTAATAGTACTTAAACTTATTTCTCAGTTTGGGTACTGTTATTGCACTTTACTTCCATAAACCTAGTCATGTCTTAATTTTAGTGTTGCATGAAATAATGAGTCTAAAAGTTATGATTTTTTTTTTCAGTCATTTAAATGACTTCTTATATTAAATGATTGTCAGTGATAAGGTACAAGTAATTAGTGTATTCTAGAAATCTCATCAAGTGTAAGCTATTAAAAAGTTGGAAAAAAAATATGAAGCTGTTATCCATGCTTGTTTACCTTACATGAGGGTAGTTACATGAGTTAATTGTTGACTTTTAGAAAGGACAAACAACGGGTTTTTTAATGAGTGTACTTTCAAATGGTATTTGTAACTACATCATATTAATTTTAGGTTTAATCAAAACTTGTATCAGTGAAGAATGTTGTTGAAAAGGGCTGTGAATATAAAATCCGTGGAGGAGTTTTTTTCTAACATGTAAACAAAGAATTTAAATAAAAGAAATGCAAGTATTAAAAAAACTATGCAGTAAATCCACACTTTAGTTTACCATTTACAGTTTTATCTTTTTTTTTGGGGGGGTGTTTAATAAAATTCAGAATTTCTTATGCGCATAGTATGTGGCTATCAAGGTTTTGCTGTGGGTCCACTTGATATTTTTAAACAGAGCTACAGTATATTGTTATAATGTAATAGTTAAATTTATATTCTTAGACAGGGGTACAGTATATTGTTATAATGTAATAGTTAACTTGATATTCTTAGACAGGGCTACAGTATATTGTTATAATGTAATAGTTAACTTGATATTTTTAGACAGGGCTACAGTATATTGTTATAATGTAATAGTTAACTTGATATTTTTAAACAGGGCTACAGTATATGTTATATTGCAATAATTAGATTGCATAGTTCACCAACAAATATTTCTTTTTTTTACCAAGCTACTGAGATTTTCTTTTTCTTTGTTTTTGTCCATAATATCTGAGTATACAACAACCTGGTTATGGTTTGTTTTTATCCCATTTAAGTTTTCATAGAAAGTTTTATAATAACCACATATATGAATATATAATATACATATATAGTGCAGTTGTCACCAATAAGAAGCCTGTGGACCACATCCCCCCTCATAACTGATTTTTGACCTGCACTATGATCAGATAATGCAAAAATAAGCAAAACTGTATTCCTGAACAATCCTAAGCTTGGACCTTCTATTTATGGTCATCTGAATTGGACCAGTGTGGAAACTAATTGGGGGCCACTAGTGCAGTGTTTGCCACAAGTTTTAATGGTTAGGTTATGAGAGAGTGGACTTTTAAACCATGAGAGAGAAATGTGTTGCTTGTCTTTATGCAGTTTTATTATTCATTGCAACCCATACAACTTAGATTTTTTTTCATAGAAATTCTTTCAATACATTGTTGTTACTAACTACAGTTGTTGATATGAGACTGGTTAATATTTGGAGATTGCAAGTGTACCTTTCATGTTTGTTACATACTGATTTTGTGATTTACAGAAAAACAAATGGATCGCAATGGTCGGGTGTATTTTGTAAACCACAAAAACAAAACAACCCAGTGGGAAGACCCCAGAACTCTAGGGTTAGTAGAAATTTAGTTTATTTTCTTGCCTTGAAAATAAGCTAAAAAATTTGTAATTTATGGTTTTTGTCAGAGTGTTCCTACACTTGTGACTATGAGATTTTGTGAATTTAAAGTCTGTTAAAAATAGAGCAGGGTGATTAGTGGAAATTAATCATCAGATTTATTAATTGATTACATTGAACTAATTGATCATTCTCACTTCAGATGGGTAGTGTGAACGATCAGAAATAATGATATTTTGAAACACTAATTTTGATTAGTTGACTATTTCATGAGTCAGGACACTTGTTGATTAAGCTGAATGACCTTTAATTAACCATATAATAATAAGAGATCAATAATGGCAATATCTAGATAACATGGATAGTTAGAAGAATTGGAAACACTAATTTCCATTAGTTGATTATTTCTACTATTAATATATTTAATTGTAATTTATATTAATTGATTGTTTTATGTGAGATTGATGTAATTACTTTTAGGTAATTGATTAATGTAGTTAATCTCCCAGCTGTAATTGAAAGTTTTTATACTTTGACAATTTCATAAACTTTCATCATTCCTTTTATTGTGCATTTCCACTCACTTTATCTTTAATGCTTTAGTGTTAATTTCTTCTTAACCCTAAAACATTCATCAGAACTTTTAGGCACGTACTTTTTTTAGTATATTCAGGTTTATATACATGTCTAATTAGATCAAGTATACCTCTAAAACCATTTGAAATAGCCTAAGACACATATGGAAACAGTTGTTTAGTATAACCTGAAGATCCAAATTAGGCAAATAATTTGACCTAATTTGCATATCTGATGATGCTACACTTTCAATATGGGCACCATATTTGAAAATTTCTACTTTATTCTTTTATCTTCTGATTTAACACAATCTCTTAATTTGATTTAAAAAAAAAAAAAAGGTTGAAAGTTATTAATGACCTTTTGCTATGTTGTATTTATTGGTCAGAACTCCACTGAATAGGCAAATTATGTTATCATAGGCCAGTTTTTTGGAGGTGATTTGTGAATAATAAAACAATTACACAATCGGTTTCCCTTTCCTTCTAAGCACAGGATCGTCACTTTTTCTGAGATGTAAGACAGCAGGTTTCAAGACTGCTGGCATGTCATGGCAGTTCACGTTCACAGTACCACACAGTCCTGTGTTCTGATTAGATAGTTCCTCGGCCAAGGACACACTAATGTAATAGCTGTCTACACACATTTCATGCTCTTTGCCAATCCATGAAGCCATCATATTCCAAACTTATAGGTGACTGATACATCATTACCATCCTTATTTGCAACATTTTCATTTATACCTGAATAGAGTGACAACTCCAGAACATATTCACTCTTTGACTTTGATTCAGATAATATAAAAACTTGGGATCCCTATTTATCTGGCTTTTTAGGGTTGTACTGTTTCAAAACACTTCACCCTTTTTTTTTAATGCGTTTGTCATTTCAATCTTTGCCAATTCCTTTTTTTGGACCAAATGGTTATGTGAATATGGGAATTATCATGTCAATCAGTGGATGCATATTGATTAACTTGTCATGAGAAGAAGCACCTCTGGCAACTTTATAATTATTTTTTTCAAAATGCGGGAAGCTCAAGATCAATTCAAATCTATCCCCGGTAAGGACATAGCTGAAATCAGGAGTGCCAGCCAAAACATGTCCCAGTAGTCCTCTATCTCGGGTTTATTGACCAAGTCCATCTTTTGATGGTTTACAGGTACCCACAAAATCATAAATGTGGTTTCAAATCATCATCTTTCCTTTGTAAAAACTAATTAGCATAGCAGTTTATTTCTGTTACAATGCGATCAAATACAGCATCATCCAGGAATAATTACAAAAAATTGATAGGGTCTGCATCACTTAGATTTTGGTTGCCCCTGTACCGTATATCTCTACCATCAAAGCTGGAAATCCAAGGTTGAAAACATACATCACCCATCACCCATCATTATTTGGACCACCAATTCCATGCCTAGCTTGATTGCCATGAATAAGTTAAGCATGTCCATGTGCAGGTTGTTATGCCTTACCAGACCTAGCCCTGGGAGGATGTGTATGTGTAGTTGTATACCCACCTGTACTAGCAATGGCAACAGGTACATTGTTATAACATCCTGCACCATGTCAAGATCTCCCTTGAAAATTGGCCTTTTTAGAAATGCAAACCTCATAATCACTTGCTCCCACGGGCCCAGCTTTGGCATTACTACTATAACTGTCCACATCAGAATCGGTCATATGCTTAAAATTATTGTCAGATAATTCAGGTTCAGAGCTAGAATTATCATCAGCTTGCACAAGTTCAATTGTCTCCAAGTTTTAAAACATTGGAGTGATATTATGCCATTTTGGGCCTGTGTTCTCATAAAAATTAAACAATTTTCAACTGCAAATATTACCAGTTGTTTTTTAATAGCAACATGTGCCATGTTTGATACGAATCGGCTGCTGAGATCATCATCCCTTCAGGTTAGGCCTTGTCTATTGATTTTTTGTACTTGATTTGCATTTATAGTTGGAAATTCAAACTGCATTATATGATTGCCACATGTTGATGGGTGTGCCTAATGGGGTTAGGCTACAGTCTTCATAGATTTGTTCACTTTACACATATATGTCTCTTTTGTTCACTTAAGATGTTTCAGCTCAGAATAAGAAATATTTTTACTAATATTCACCTTTTCTTTGTCCATTTCTTATAATTATTCGACCACATATTTTTTATGACATAGCATTAATATGGCATGTTACAGATTTGTTTAATTTATTTAGTAGCTTGATTGTTTTTTCCTTTACCCAAACATCACCAAAACATATACACATGTGCTTGTCCACTTGTCATGTAGCATGCTTTTGTTAAGGTATACACTTTGTTATGTAAATGTTAATGAAGGTGTTATCTCCAGGCGGGAAGAGCCACTCCCTCCAGGATGGGAAGTTAAGTATACAAATGATGGGAAGAAATACTTTATTGACCACAACACCCGTACAACTACTTTCCAAGATCCTAGGATGTCATTTAACTCAAGAGAGTAAGTAAAACTTGTAGAAGAAGGTTATTTAAACTATCTCTTGGAAATCCATAGTGGCAACAGTTTGTGTTGTGCAATTATTGGACCAAAGAGTAAGATAAAAGTTTTGATAGTCCTTAATACATATATGTTAATAAATCCATTTTGTGTAATAATATGGATTTTGTGCTTAGATTGATGGTAAGTTGTATACGTACGTGCAAAGTTTCTCAAGTTAAATACACTTCTGTAGTCTTCTAAGACTTTTAGAAATTTCTTTCTGCTGTTTTGAAGAAATTTTTTTCAAATTTATTGTTTGTTTAATCCTTGGTTTTGTTTTAAAATTTGTTTTTGGTCTGTCAAAAATCATCAAATTATATCATAAGGAGGAAGTTATGTGAGTGTTAGGATGTGTAACTGCCGCTTTTTCAAAGTGTGTATATGTTTTAGTTATTTTAGAAAATAATGATTATAAAAAGCAATTTAAATGTAACTTTTATTGGTAAAGAGTAACTTTTATCTAAATAATTTTACAGTTTTTCCCTTTCTTTGGTTTTGTGTGCACATTACCTTTTGGTCTTCTTTTCAGAGGAGTTTCTGGTGGACCTGTAGCCTATGAGAGGAACTTTAAGTGGAAACTTACACAGTTCCGTTACCTGTGTCATGTTAGTAGTTGCAATATGATTTGCTTATTCTGCAGTAATAACAGTATACTAATATATTTGCAGTATATTTGGAGTAAAATATTATCTAGTTTAAAATGTGTTATGGTAATAAAAAAAACATCTGTCTGCTTTCCTATGAAAAAATGTGCATTATGTTTAACTTTTGTATTGATTAGCATGTATTAGTTTTAGGCTTTGCATTGTTGTTGTTTTCTGAACTTGAATATATTTTCTTTCTGTTTTTAGTTCTGTCTAAAAGTTGAATCTTTGAAAGTCTGTATTGTCAGTTGTTATGTAATATTAAATAAAGTTAGCTTACACTTGGTAGCAAAACTCATGGACTACTGAGAACTGCCATTTCATCGTGGCAAAGTGTAAGTTTTGTTTGCTCACCCACTAATATCCCTTTAAGCTTCAAGTGCTACAAAACTTAACAATTAACAGATTGTTATTGCTTTGCTTAACTGGATAATTTCAGCCTTAAACATAAGAATAAGAAATTATAAAGGTTGGTAGGAAAATGTGCATGAATCACTTTTTTTTTACTTGGTACAGAATGTTTAGTTCTGGTTCTTTGGTTTGGTTTGAAAGTTTGGCATTAATTTTTTTTGCACTTGGTAATATTTTTTGTAAGTATTACTCATAAGTATGTACTCTTTTTTTTTTTTCACGTAATATTCTGATAGTTAATGTTTGATTTCTCATACATTTTTCTGTTCATATTGTTCACACCTTGTATCCTTAGAGAGCAAATGCCTTAACCCTACACCTGGGCCAGCAAGCACTTTTCGGGTGCTAAGTGTCTGTATATAAAATTTCAAAATAATAATAATCTAAGGCAATCGTTTTCAACTCAGAAATATTTTAGATTTGATATTTTGTCACTTTGTAACTTTTGTATGGTAATTCACAAAGGAAAAAAAAATTGATATTTGTGCACAGCTTGAAGGAGTCTCATATTTTAACAACACTTACACTTGTTTTTGACTTATAGATTTATACTTGCTAAGAGATTATCATTCTTTCAGAATATAATTATCCTTGCATCTTTTTTCTTATCTTTCAATGACTGTATTACTGCAACCTCATTCCCACCCATTTATGATCTTGCAACATGTGATCTGAACAAATACTAATGTAGCTCAGCTTTGAAGACAGGTACAGGGAAAGTTTAAATACCATTGGATAGAGCAGATTATAAATTATTTATATCAATGTACTAATTCTGTTTGTTTTGTGTTACCAGAATCTAACAGTCAGTGTGCTAGTTACTTGCTCTGTTGGTTACATAAAGCTAACAATAGATCTTAATATATAATTTTAAAGCTTTTCTTTCCTTTTGATGAAAATCTTAAAGGTAGGTAAAAAACTTATATTGAATTCATAGGTATAATATTTCTTAATGCTGAAGGTTTACCAAAGTTTTAAGTTATAATCAAGTTCATTATTAACATGAGAAATATTTTTAGGATAGAAAACAATGTATGGAGAAGTGCCTGATAAACAAATGCTTTAACCATCTATGTTTCCGTTTTTCAAATGTCCCAAGTCTCAGTTTTCACTTCTCTGGCTATTTAAGATGGAAGTTTGCAGGATAAATTACACCATTCAGAGTTAAAGCTCAGGATCTGTTTTATGCCATTTTGTTGATGTTTGCAGTTTTTTAAACCAAAGTTAGTTTTCAAGTGACACACTATTTTTGAAGAAATGACAACAGACATAAGTGGGATTTGAACCAGTGACTCCAGCATTTCAAGTAAAAGTGGTAGTCTTAGAATAACTTGAAACATCAACTGAATATAGTATGAAATTACTTAAACATCAATTATTTCTGCTATTTTGCCAAATTTTTAAATAAATAGTTTGCATTCAGTGATTTATTGTATGAAAACATTGGCTAACTGACTGTATCACAACTTCATCTTGTCTATATAAGAGTATATTTCATCACAGTTTCACAATGTTTACGTTTCAATCAAGATTTTTTTCTTGCTAATTTCAGAACTATTTGATTAGTAGCCCTTTATTTTCTGTTTTTGTATTAAATTGGCTAGGTAAATAATGTGATTTAGCATGATGATGACATAGTATTCATAAGTCAGGCTTAAGATACAAATGTTAATCTTTCAAAATCTAATTTTCTGTCTTCCTTTAGTGCAATGCTGTACCTAGTCATATCAAAATTGTTGTATCACGAAGTAACATTTTTGAGGAGTCTTATGCCCAGGTAAGTGCAAATAAAGCATTATAAAAATGATTAAAAATAAGCATTATTGACTGAGTTCAAATTTTATTAGAAACTTTAACCTATATATATATATTGGATGTTGGTGTACTTTGGTGACAGATTTTCTTGTAGGCAGATTTTGTTAAAC